CGCGACCCCCAGATTGTGAGTCGAGCGCCTTATCCACCTGGCCATGCCGGGCCACCAAGATTGGGCTAACCGAAGTGTCGAAAAAAATTGACGCATTTGCTACACTTAACGCAATGATCACATCGTCCACCTAGAGCGAACGTAAATTATCACATTGTCCACCTGGTGCAAACGTACAGCAATGAGTCTGATTGTCAGACGATAAACTCAAATGCTTGTGTATGTACTCATATGTCAGAAATAACATTATTTATTTCCACCTCTAAGATTTTTCTCGACGTTTGCCTGAATATCATTTGCCGCGATTTCTTCAGGATACTTAATGTTGGTTAATCTTGTCATCATGGACCCGAATACTGAACTGACATATCATAATAGAATATAGTAGGTTGACAAACCAGCTTTTGTTTCACCTCTTTTTTTTTTTGTCAGCAACTTAACGATATCGCGAAATGAATGCATCCCAACTTGTTCGTGGCTATCAAAGGAGTTCTTATAGGCTTTGTGAAGGTCTTCGATACTTCGTCCGCCACGTTCATAAAGTGGTATATCTGAAAATATGTGGTTGTCCATCCTTACATTCCTTGTTTGACCAGGCTTTACTTGAAGGCTTCGTTGAATAAACGTAGTTGCTGTTGCAATCATCTGGCTGTCCACACGGAAAGTATAATTGTGTTTTGGCAGATCTGTTCTACACTCCAGAGTAAAAAAAAAAAAACGTCTTTCTCAAGGATGAAAACTTCACTTTTCCCATTGTGTACTCCTGAACGGGTACAAGCTGTTTTTGTTCGTCTGGTAGGCTATAGAATTCTTGGGCGGGCATCGTTTTGCATGTATGTCGTTCGAGTGAATTTGCCTAAATGCTTTGAGCCACCACGGAAATGTTCCTGCACCCAATACGTGATAGCTTGCACATGTTATTGGAAATGGGTTCCGTCGAATACTTCTCATTATGACTGTAGTTTGTCGATAAAATACGTCTTCAATTCGGATGGATCGGTTGGATACAAAAGTTGGAATAACTTATCCGTTATTTGTGTGCATATCTGAACAACTCTGTCTTTCTCCAACACATTGCAATGCATTAGTTTCGTGTAAAGCTGTACGATTGGTAATACCCAAAGCATTGAATATAGAAGTAATGGTTTTAGAGGCTTCAGCGTTTCCATCTTCTCCAGGATCAATATCATACACCTTGCTTTCTTCTAATCTAATTTGATTTTAAACTCCCGGTGCACTTGTCTTTCTCATCACTCTTCTTTCTCCACTTTCAGCATCATTTCTTTGCTTCCAGTTAATATCATTTGCTTTATTCCAGCATGAATCCAAAGGTAAGCAGCATCTAGAAACGCCACAGATGAACCAGTCTCCTTTCTTTCTATGTTTATGTTCCTGGCAACGCATTTTATAAATTTCAGTTATGAGTATATTTTTTTCAATCGAAAGAAGAAGCTTTTTTTTTTTTAGATTGTATTATTGGATTACGGTGACGTAGCCTGGCGCCTCCAATCCATTTTTCGGCGCTGACGTTTTTTTTCCTAAATTTGGGTCGGTTTTTCGTCACCGGTGGTCATAAAAAAAAGTTCAACATTATTTCATGACGAAAATAAATCAAAAAGATGAAGTTTATAACCGTTTGTTTAGGGATGAATCTACTGAACTTAAATAATTAATTCACAAATATCTTAACAACTTTTCAGTAGGTAAGTTCTTATTTTAATAATTACAACGTTTCGACCGACAGTATCAAGGGTACGAGTCGAAGCGTTGTAATTATCAAAATCAGGGCTTTTCTATTGTAAAGTTTGTTGTTATTGTATTTTATGCAATTAATTTATAACTGTTTGTTTTGCTTTTATTAAACGCAAAGTTACACTACTGACAATCTGCGCTGTGTTTACCACAGAGATCGAACCTTTAAGTGTTATGAGCTTTCACACTTACCGCTAAACAACCAGGCGGAAGAAATTCATGACGAATGTTCTAGGATCGGATAATCAAAATAAAAAGTGAACTTCATAACAAGATTTCCAAATTCATACATGTTGAAAAATATTAATATTTAATTCTTCGTTATTGTCATTGTTTTGGTTTATTTACAAATTCAGATAAGAAGCTCACTTACTTCTCTGGGTTCTCTATCTCCAGTATTGTGTCCGAAAGCTGTCTGTTAAATGTTTCCGGAAGAAGGAAGACCATAATGGCTGCTACTATTGACAGAACACCATAGATTACTGAAGGTACAGCGACGTGCGTGGATTTACTCTAAAGAACAAAATAGAACAACTTATCTCAACTGATTCTTAAATTGATCAATAAATTACAGAACTTTCAAAACTTTGTGATCCGCCATATGTAAAATAAGCATATAACGAGAAAATATGTTTAATTCATTCAATCTTTGTCTTTTTTTGTTGTTAACCACAAAGCTACACAATGGACAATTTGTGCTGTATCGAAACCCACATTTTAGCGAAACCTTCCAGTGAGCCAGGAGGAGGCATCTTTGTTCTTAAAGCTATAATTTTTACAAGAACAATTCTTGGTAAATACTGAAGGAATTTAAACATTCTCTAACAAACTGTCAAACACTCCTATTTTATACAAAACTTGACGGTGTTTAAAGCTTTTTTTGCAATGAAAGAAAATTTTTCTATGTTCCGGAAGGATTACGTCATCTCTAATTTGTTTATATGAAACATCACGGTACGCTCTACTTTCGTAATAAATCAGAAGTGTATTTCCCAATTACTAACTAAGCGAAATAATATATTTATTACTAACTAATTAATATTATGGTTAATATATTGCTAAAGAAAAACATATTTGATTTTAAAAAAGTAGTTATTAAAGTAGTTATTTATATTTTCAAAACGACGTTATTTTTTTTCCTGTTGCTCAGAGAGTTATGTTTTGCAGACTCAAGGTGAGATGGAAAGGTATTACAATTTAATCCTTTACAAAATAAACAAAGATTCACAAGCGGTTATTAATGTTAATAATAACGTCAGATTATGTAAGTCTGTACTCTTCTAGACTTACTTTATTGTTATTATTACCAAACTAGTCCTAGGAGTGTTTTATAAAAAACATTATTTATTGTGAGAATAAAAAGTTCTTTTATAACATTTAAAGTATGATAAATGTAACCAGATTGTCTCTCTATATGAAAACATTTTGAACGTTAAGTTTTTGACTTAATCAGGGTGCACGGTAGTGGTCTCTATGTAGGGATGACTCAGGTTGAAATTGGGGACCTGTACATCTTGTACACGGTAGCGTGTACGCCAGGACATCGCTAAAACTCAGCCTAAGGGTTAGCGGAAAGCCTTTCACTAATCAAGTATAAAACTGCCTCCAAAGTTCGGCTAATCTCCCTTAACGTCTAGAAAAGTGGCTACAAAAACACCGATTTTCTTCATCTTCTTTTTCCCCTTCCGTCTACTTCCATAACTCATAAACCACAGCATGTCTTCTTCCAGTTTACACACCAAAACACTTGACTACTCCTTAACACGTGACTTTTCATGTCCAGAGCACCAAATGATCCATCATGGGTTAGTTACAGCTCAAAATATATATACAAATATACGTGTTTAGTGGGACGGGGATTCGAACCCGCGACCCTCAGATTGTGAGTCGAGTGCCCTAGCAACCAGAGGTGTCGTGTTTTGATTTGTCTATTTCTCATTGGGGTGATGGTTATGCAGTTTGATGATATAGAAAGGAATGTTGAACTAGCAAAGTTTTAAATAGAAAATTTAATTAATCTGCATTTAGATAACCCAAGAAACAGTTATGAATTGTCATAAAGTTTCGTAATCGAATATAAAGCCTCCGAATGTTTAGACACCTGTTAAAAAAAGATAGATAATGGACACTGTTGAGGTCATATTTGAATTCTTGTTAAAGTACAGTCATGTTTTTTTACCAATATTGGTTAGAGTTCAACAGATGTTAAAGTACAGTGGGGTTTTACCCATGTGTGAATGGGTTTATCATGCTAAATCCGTCTGCCTTTAAGTTGTTCGATGTGTTTACTTTCCACCGGTTTTTATACAAAGTATTCGAAATCTATTTATAGAAGACGGAAAATGACGTCACTGAGCTAAGTGTCGAATAAAATCTGCTTATACTATTTATAATTTAATTTATTTTGTGTTACGTGTGTTTAGTTGATTTAATCTACACTGTGGTCACTCTGTCATGTGTCATTTTTTAATGAAAACATTTGTTTATACATCGGTCATAGGCAATCAGTGTTTCTACATCAATATAATTAATGCCTGGTGAGTGGTAATACGTACTCTGGTATATGAATGTTTCTTGTACACCTCGTAACTTACAAGGTTCTTATAAAGCAGTTTGACTTGTACCTCAGCCTGTATTTACCAGGATGAAACTTAATGAACAAATGTTTATCATAGTGTAAATATGTTCTAACTCACCAGTTCACGAACAAAAGGAGCGATTGCCGCTCCTATCCTCGAACACAGGATAGCAGTGCCAACCCCCACAGTTCGAATAACAGTGGGGAACACTTCTCCTCCATAAACAAAATTGATGTTACCAACAGTGGCTATGAACATTTTCCCTATCATGGTTAGCGAAATCTTTGTCACCACCATATCTGTACAAAATAAATATATATACATTTAAAACGTCAATAATAAAGTGATCATTAAACTACAGTAGTAAGTTAAATACAGATAGGATACCTTTAAAACTTCCTTGCTATAACTGAAGTTTCTAACTGTTACAAAGCTACCACGGGAACGTAAAATCAATACACATTAACGTATGTGACCAAATGTTTTACTTTTAAATCACTACTCGTTTATATTAAATAAATAGAACCCCCATAAAAGTAGTTTGAAATGCTTGTTTATTAGACGCAACATGTATTTGAAAACATTAAAACTGTGGTAAAAATAATAATAATAATTTATAATTTTTGATAAAAACAAAGGATTTTCAGTAAACTTTACACAAACCTTCCGGAACAACAATCACCAGAACACAGGCCACACAGGTAACCACGAAGGATACTATGATCGGTGGTTTCCGTTTCACGAACTTTACCACTAGAGGGAGCACTACACAAACCGGAAGTTCCACAGCAGCCGAGATTAGTAAGTTGATGTACATATTGCCCCCTAGTCTTGCCGAGCCGAAGGTCAAGGCGTAGTATAAAAATGATGTCGCAAAACTATATATTAAACAGTTTTATTAGTAAAAATAATATTATTAAAACGCTCGTGTTTCATTTGATGACGTATAAACAATGGTACTCAATCTTTTTTTGGGGGGGGTCAGTTTCCAACTTTCCCCAGATTATATAATTTGATACTTCCCAAACATGCACATACGCACAAACACACACATATTTTTATATGGCCAAGTGGTTAGGGCGCTCGACTCGTAATCTGCGGATCGTGGGTTCGAATCCTCGTCACACCTAACATGCTCGCTCTTTCAGCCGTGGGGGCGTTATAATGTGACTATTCGTTGGTAAAAGAGTAACCCAAGAGTTGGGGGTGGGTGGTGGTGACTAGCTGTCTTCCCTCTAGTCTTACACTGCTAAATTAGGGACGGCTAGCGCAGATAGCCCTCGTGTAGCTTTGCGCGAAATTCAAAAACAAACAAACAAACATTGATATACAAGTAATGCCTTTTTTGAAACTATTCAGACCATTTCTTTATACTATACAACTATACAATAAGGCACTGACAGTTGTTGTTGTTGTTGTATTCTGAGTTAAGCCACACTGGGCTATCTGCTATGTCCACTGCGGGAAATTGAACCCCGGATTTTAGTGTTGTAAATCTATAGACTTATCGCTGTTCCACCAGGAGACGGCGCTGAAAACCTACTAAACTGAAAGTCTTCTTTGATAGGTTCTCTCTTTTATAAACAACTTTCTAATTTTAACTACCAAACATCATAAAAGTATATTTAAAAATATAAATTTACATTTATACGTAAAAAACTGGTATAATACTGTTATCTAAATGCTGATACGCTAGTTATACGTAAAAAACTGGTATAATACTGTTATGTAAATCCTGATACGCCAGCACGTTTGACGAGTCCATGAGCAATATGTCCCTTTTGTTGAAAACCTCCGATATATAACATGTCATTTGTTTTGGTCCAATGAGTTAGTAGTTATAAAAATCAAATGAAATTTATTCGAATCCTTTTACCTTTATACATACATTAAAACTTATTGTTAGACTTATTAAATCTTATTTGAAAATAGAGTCGTATAAATAGTAATGATAGTTTGTTCAGATATTCGCTAACATATTAATAAATAAAGTTATGAGTATATTTTAAAATATTCAAACTTACACTTATAAAATACAGAGAAAGCAACTAGTTTTAATCATTTACAACTTTCAAGATTACCATCATGTTACTATAGAAACCAATAATGTCTGGGTGAATTATTTATACCGTCTACACTGGAATGACGTAACACCAAATAATAAAAGCACTTTAAAACAAATACATCCAATCAAAATATTTACGATAAAATCCTAGAGTTACCGACAGATGGGTCTGCCTTCCTCAAGGAAGAGAGTTGAAGAAAAACTTTACACTTACGTAAGTAATGAAATAACATGCCTAAAAATGGTTATTAGCAGATGAATCAGATTTTTCTAAGATGTATTAGCAGTAAAACTGGGAACCATATGTAGTAATCAGAACATGCTCCGTCTCAATCATGAAATGGAGATTATGAATAAAACAGTACTTGTATTTTCTTTCTCCACTCGTCTATTTAACTTTTAATAAAGTGAGGTTGCCATGGTAATGAAGTGAGGCTACCGTTTTAAAAAGTGGGGTTTCCATGGTTAAAAAAAGCGAGGTTTCCGAATATAACGATACGAATACCACAAGTTCTCTAAAGTTACTTTCATCAAACTGTTCTTACATCACGTTGGTTGTAGTGTTAAATGTTCTTCACACGTTGGGGAAGAAAGAAATTAAACAAATGTTTTTGGTTTAATGAATATGTTAAGATTAAATAACTCACCAGTCATACCACAACAAAAACACTACAATAACTATTTATCTGTAAGATAAATGTTTCTTTGTGCTAACACAAACGATGTCATCAG